AATGCTTCCTTCGATTGGATTCACAGGACAGATAATGGGATGGCTGACACTCTAGCTAAGCAAGGGGTTTTGAGGCAGCAGTTATTCTGGGCTCTCTTGTAATTTAGTTTTTGGACATTTGTATTTCCGGGTGGATGGATCCCCAAGCTGTTGTATCTTTTACCTCCCATTAATAAATTAATCATTTTTTTCTGATAAAAAAATCATATGGAATAACGTAAAAATTATAGACATGGTGGAAAACATTATGAAATATGCAAATTGAAAAATTATAGAATGCTGTTTTGTGTAATAATAAAAGATGCATACCTAGAGCCTTTTAAATTATTATCTTGTTCCAAATCATCAAAATTACATGATAGAGTGAGTTCAAACAAAATTTAAATTCATAGAAAGTGCAAGTGGTTCTACTAGATCAACCAAATAATTTATTATACAATAAAAACTAAGATCTAACATCATATTTGAAGATAATTTCGAGCTGGCTCAAAGTAATAATCATGTCCACTAGGTAGGTGGCCAATAACATTGTTACTTCAAATATCTAAAGTATTGTTGCCAACTTATAATACTATCTATTGCACTCCACATAGCACCAGTAACTTTTATTGGGGAATATGTCGACTCCAGTAATATTTCGTGTTAGTACCCATGGAAATGGAAATATGTCATGGAAATATCAAATAATTTATGGACATTTTAAACCATGAGTATAGATCATATATATCTTTGGGAGGCAAGATCACCTTGATCAAATCAACCTTAAACAATCTTCCAATGTATTTCCTTTAAGTGTTTAGGATCCTGTCAAAGTTTGCAAATAGGTTGGAGAAGATCATGAGGGGCTTCCTATGGGAACTGGGGGACAATAAGAGAGACCATTTAGTTAATTTGAGAGGTGGTATGCAGAAGCAAAGAGGAGGGAGATTTGGGGTAGAGAATATTAGAATGAAGAATGTGGCACTGTTTTTTTTTTTTTTGATAAATGAAAGATAATTTTATTAATAAGATAGAAAAGGTGTACCGACACCCTAAGAGGAGGCACGAGATGTTACCTCCCCTTAGGAAAGAGAATATGAACACACTCTTTACAGAAATACGCTTATAAAGTAGCCCAGAACAAATCACCCCTCGAAGCCCCTTGTTTAGCCAAGGAATCAGCCATAGCATTTGCCGATCTGCTAACCCACTGAAAGCTTACAGTCATGTTTCTTGTCAGCCACATAGTTGTCAGGGCAACGCCTAGGTGGGCGCCTAGTCGATCTAGGCGACTAGGCGCCCTTTGAGGCTTGCCTCGCCTAATCGTGTAGCAGTTTTGTACTATGTACTGTAAAATACTTTTTTATTCTTTATTTTTTGACATTATAATTATAAAATAGGCACTATTAAACTAAAATACTCATTTTGTGTGTTTATATACTAATTTGTTTTTATTATTTTCTTATTTGTTAGGATTTAATCAATACAAACATTGCTAAATGCTGTATTGAACCCTCAAAGACTTTAAAACCTGAACCAATAAGTAAGGAAGAAGTTAAAATTTTGTCTAATCAACACTTTTTCTTTTCTTCTTTTCCTATAACAAAAATAAGGGTTCAGACCCTATATTTTTTTAATTTTCTTTTCCTTCTTTTTTTTCTTCTCATGAATATGTTGATTTTCTATACTTTAACATGAATTCTATATTTTTCTTATGAAAATTATGAATAATTATTAAGGAAATATGGCTATGGTACCTAGGGAACTACCCTAGGATCTATATTTTCTATATAAAAAAGTCCATTGCCTAGGCGACAAGGTGCTCCCTTGACGCCCAGCCTTGAAAACTATGGTCAGCCACTTAACTTTCTTGAGAAGACCCCTGTAAGGCCAGAAAACCGTGTCCGAATCTGACAGCCAACCTACTACCACCTTAGAGTCCCCCTCAACTATCAAGTGTTCCACTCCAAGTTGGTTTGTAATCTGTATTCCTTGTACTGCAGCCAATATCTCAGCCCTTGTAGAGTCACCAACATCCACTGATCCAGCAGAGTATAGGGATAAGATGTTGCTATCATTATTGATAAAAAAAAAAAAGATGTTGCTATCATTATCTCTCAAACCCCTCTTATGCCTGAAGGCGACCTCTGCCCAGCTTTTCCAAAGATCATCAAAGGAATAATTCATAAAAAGATCTGAAGTTTTCAACCAAAAAATTGTTCTTGTCAAGATACACTCCTTTACTTCGGCTAAACTTCTTTCCTTTTCTTGGAAAATCCGGGCATTCCTCTCCTCCCAAATGATCCACAGAATAGCTGCCCTCTCTTTGTTGATCGGGAGTATCCATGTCTGGCAGAGTGATGGCCAGGATGCTGATTTTGAAGACACGGGCAAACTCTCTTCTCCCTAGAAAGCTACTTTCAACTTCTATCACCTTTTTCTACGATGCATAAGGTGGTATGATGTATCTTCATGTTCTAAAACCAAGTTTTGGGAAGACATATGGTGGGGGTAGATTTCTCTGAAGGAGAAGTATCCAAGCCTTCACATGTTATCTCACAATTCAAAGCCTATTATCCAAATACAAATAGTGTCTTGGTCTCAATTTGTGGCTTCATGGGACTTGGGTTTTGGGGAGGTTGAAGCGCCTTTACTGTATGAGCTTCTCAAATCCTTGGAGGCTGTATGTATTATTCCCATTATGGATGATTGTCACATTTGAACCCTCAATTTATCAGGTTTTTTCTCATGTGTATCATTATTTATGTTTCTAACCTCCTCTTCTCTTGTGTCTCAAACTTTTCCTATTAAAGAGATCTGGTTTAATCCAATCCCTCCTACAATAAGATCTTTCTATTGGGAAGTGTTTCATGAGAGAATCAATTCCTGCAAATGGATCCAAAACAAAAGACCTATTGGACTTCATCCTCACATGTTGTGCTCGTTTTGCTTTACTGGTGGAGAATCCACTTACTATTTGCTAATCGATTAGTTGCTAGCATTTGGGAATGGTTTCTTTCTCTTTTTGATGGTAGGTGGATCCCGCCTCAAAACTTGGAAAGTCCTTTCTCTTTTTTCTCTATTTTGGAGATGTAGAGGCAGAATCATTTGGAGATGTAAAAGGGCACCCATCCTCTGCACTGTTTGGAAGGAAAGAAATGATAGAATTTTTAGAGAAGGCATAGTAATCGGCCCAACTGAAGCTTCAACCATTAAGGAGCTTACAACCTCCTGAATAACTTATTCACTAAAAGACAAAGCAATATGGCATTCAGTTCAACCACTTGTCCCATTAGTTAATATGGCTATAAGCATTTAAATGAATCGTTTTCACATAATATCCTAGATGTACCTATCAAATGGTGTTTTCCCATTTGTGACATGTGTACAAACAGCAGGAGATCAACTGGAATTTGGAGGTGTAGACATTGTGACTTGTAATTTCTTTCTTCTTATATACTAAATTAATAGCATAAATGTTATGTTTCTGTAGGGCTCGGATTGTGTGCATCCATTTGTGGCTTTGCAGAATTGTATCAAAGCAAATCCCGATGCATTTTCCAAGGATCTTTTAGATGGTGATGATGATGGTGGGAGCAAGAAAGAGGAAGAACACACCCAAGAATACAAAATCATTCCACCAAGATGGTCGAGAGAACCAAAAGACAAGCTTTAGAGATATTGATTACTCCTACATATCTGACATATCATATGTGGTAATTTTTTTTTTCTCGATCCTCTTAATTCTTTTTTGTGGAGGAAGAAACTGTTGAGCTGTTTTGACAAGTTAATTTTCTTACTTCTACAAAGGTGTAGAAGTGGTAGGCTGACATTGGTCAGTGATTGATGTATTTTTTTATTAGGGTTATACTAGCCTGGGAGAATCATAAGGTATGGGGAAACCTCAGCCTCTCATTTCATGGAAGCTGAGGTCATCAGGTGGGACTAGGGTCATAAAGTGGAATGCATGCAAATACAATGGGGGATTGTGTGGTCACAATTCATTCTCATAGCATAAAGTCTAAGGTGTTTTCCACATACTATCATTTGCCTTTTTATTAATATAGAGGAACAAGTTAGATCTTCTTTGTGGCAGAAAAAAGAGATGTGGTGCTTGGAGCTATTCCTAATAGAAGGCAATAGACTCGTAAAGATGAGCAAATCTAGCTGCCTTCAACTTCCGTATGTGATATCTGTAATGGGAAAGATTCCATTCTGCTCAATTCCATTTAGGAGTTTATAGGGCCCAAGAATCAGTTTCTTGGATGATATTTACTTCTGGCTGTTGTGGTATAGAAATATGATTCATGTTCCAAAAATTAGTGTCACTTTGATATGGATTGGCCAACTTTTGTCTAGTTATCCAATGGGGTTAAAAATACCACCTTGGAGTTCTCCTTGCTGCGAATGGGTAATAAAATTTCTCGTTTGCAATTGATTTGATATGCAGCGTGCAGTGTCTTAGCTTTTTAATTTGTAGGTTATGTATTTTGTTATTTTATTTTATGTATTTATTCTTTTGAGGGGGTGGGGGAAACGGGGAAGGAATGTTTTCTTCTTGAATTTTCGGTTAGAGGGGAAGAGCAAAGTTCAAACATCGCAACATGCCATTGCATATTATACATGCCTGTATCATTTTTCAGGGTCACCAATACATTTAGGGCCAGTTTGGTTCGCAATTGGAATTGAAATCGGAATCAAAATTAAAATCTTTCTAAATTGGAATCTGAATGGTCTATTCCTATAGTCTGTTTGGTTCAGACAGGAATGGGAATGAGAATTGAAATCAGCAGGAATGAGATTTTATTTCCAAGGGAGAGGCCAGGAATGACCATTCGCCCAAATGAGAGAATACCATTTCAGCTGGAAGCTTGGAATGAGAATGAGATTTCAATTCTATTCAACCAAACAGTTGGAAGACCCCTATTCCTGCAAATCAAATGGGGCCTTAATACTAGGTTTTTTTTAAGCCGGACTTAATACTATGAGTTGGGTCTAATTGATGGATTTAAATAATAAGGAATTAATAATAATAATCATATGAAGCTACAACTCTGTAAACTGCCAAACTCAGAAAAGGCATATATCCAATCTTTTAGTATCGAACCTATAAATGCTTTGAGCCATGTTTGAGATGAGAATTTAGAATACTCAAAACCAAGGTTTTTAAAATCGAATTGGACAATGAACCGGTCAGGGGTCTGGTTTCCTAGTCGATGAATAGACAACCTGTTCTGACAAAAAAATAAAAAATAAATAAAAACCAATTAATTTGTTGACGATTGAATGGTTCAAACAGTTCAACCACCTGGGTCAATGGTTTGTTGACCAAATCAATGGTTTTTGGGAAAATAACAGTTTTGGGGTAAAATGGACCAGTCACCTGACCAGTTTTTGGTTTTTCTGGTCCGATCGTCTGGTCTGGTTTGGTTTTGAAAACCATGCTCAAAACATTAAAGTATGTGTGAGAGGCAACCTGAATATTCTAGCTAAAGTTGAAGCATGCATTTCTTAAATATGTATGTGCGAGAGGCAACCTGAATAGGCATTAATTGATATTTTTTGCTGAGTTGATGTTTAATGTTTAATTATTCTAGCTAAAGTGATTTTCATATGTGATGTGATAATATATTAGGGTTCATTTGGTTTGCAGTCATAATTGGAATCAAAATCCTTTGGAATTAGAATCGGAATGGTCCATTTCCATAGTCCGTTTGGTTAAGGCAGGAATGGGAATGGAAATTGGTATCATCAAGAATTGGATTTCATTCTCAAGGGGCAAGGAATGGTCATTCCCTCAAATGGGGGAATGCCATTCCAGCAGGAATGGGAATGGGATTCCGATTCCACCCAACCAAACAGTTGGAATCAGAATTAGACTGGAATAGCCCATTCTAATTCTGATTCCATACCATATCAAGGTTCAAAATTTCGATACATATCAGCCCGTATTGGCCAATATGTATCGTATCGGGGCCTTCCCGATACACCCCTACAAGGGGTGTTTCAGGTTGGTGAATGGTTCAGGGGGAGACCGGTCTTAAACCGCCCCCTCTAAACCAGATTTGAAAAAAAAAAAACAAAAAAGAACAGTATTATTATTATTATTATTTTGAACCTTAACCCCTATTCCTGCAAACCAAACGGGGTCTAAATCTCCAATTTGTATTGATTAGCCCAAAACGTTTCAGGTAAAAACAATAATGATATCAATCACAACCAAGATGAAACAAAAATGGTCGGATCTCAGCTCTATTCAAGACAAAAAGGAAAAAAATCTGCTACAATTGGGGAGATTTAAGACTTATTAATCAAAGGGGTGATTTGAGATTTAGTGTCATGAGTGTAAAAAAAAAAAAAAAAAAAAAAAAAAAAAAAACAGCTGACCATGGTTTTTAAAAACGAACCGGTCAGGGGTCCGGTTATCGGTTCGAACGGTTTGACTGTTCAACCTGAACGGTCAGCCCGTTCTGACGAAAAAATAAAAAATTGGAAAATGGTCAAAACCGTTCGAACGATTAATCAGCCGATTCAGTAGTTTGCTGACCAAAATCAACGATTTTGGAAGAAAACGAACCGATTCCCGATTTTTCCGGTCCAATACGTTGATCAATATTTCACTCCTACAAATTGATACTCAACTGTTACAGATTGTATATTTGACTGTCACAAACTGTTACAAATTCATATTCAACCACTACAAATTGCATTCAACCGTTACGAATGGTCCGATTCATTTCCCACCATGACAATCATCACAAATACTTTTACAAATACGCATTCAATCATCACAAATACTCAATGATACAAACTCTCTCAAAGTCTATAATCAATCATTACAAATGAACATTTACCAAGTACAAAATTGTTGCAAACTCATTCTTAACCATCAAAAGCCATATTTAGTGTCTGTTTGGCATGCCGTTGCTCAAGGAAACAGTGATACATTAGTGTCACATTGGAAAAATTAGTGCTCTAAGAAACGTTAATATATTTGGAACTGTTTCTCCAAAAAAAAATGGTGCTCTAAATCATGCCTTGGAAATTGAGAAGGCATAGTTTGGAACAACGCCGAATTCGACGTTTTCTTAGATTGGAATTTGTTACTGTCAACGAGGGCATGAGGTGGCAGTGATGTGGATTTCCTATAATGGGTATTAGTATTGAAAATAGATATAGAGCATTAGTATCAAACAGAAGGTGTTGCTGTTGCTCCAGGAAACATCCTACCTGGCAACAACGTTTCCAACCCACATATATATAGAGAGAAAAACAGTGATATATCTACAGGATTGATGCCAAACATATACTTAATTGTTATAAACTCATACTTAACTACTACAAACTGATATTCAACTAGCACAAACCTTCATGATCCCATATTTAACCATCACAAACCATGTTCAACCATTACAATTGGTACCCAATCAATGCAATTCATTACAAACCAATACTCAATTATTGTAATCCTATATTCAACCATTACATATTGATACTCGACTAGTATAAATTATGGTTATTGATCATCAATAAGCATTAAGGGTGCGATTGTGTTTGGTTTGAAAGAAAAGATAGGAAAAGGAAGAAAGAGTAATTTTCACATAACTTAGACAAATGACAATACAAAACTTTTGTATCAGTTTGGAAGGAATACAAATACAACAAATATGTAGAGTGAAAAGCCTTATATTTTATATGTATTTGCATTGTATATATTTGTATTTGTACTCCTTCCAAACTGAGCCTAATAAGCAAACCAAACAACATTATGATTTGGTGAAGTCCAATTGCCTTGTAGCACTGATGTGGCAAAGAAGTGGATATGCAATACAATGATACCAAACACACCTTATATGAGTGAGAATCAAGGTAGGAGGAAGGTAATGCAAAATTTGAACCAATTTTAGTGTAAATGAGACTAAGTATACAAATTTTGTAACAGTTAGGCTCAGTTTGAAAAAAATACACATACAAATATGTACAATGCAGATACAAACAAAATATAGAGGTGTGCACACTGCGCACTTCGTTCATTTTAGAACGACTCATTTTTTGGGTCTTTTTGTTATAAGTTTTGAACGATAAAAAGAAAGAACTGAGACTGAGACAGAAAGGGAGGAGCCGGAGAGATTAGAGAGGAAGAACGCAGAAACTTAGCAGCAATGGCTTGTTGTTCACAACTGCTCGGAGCTTCGTCTGCCAGTATTACTAACCTGCGCTTCCGTGCGCCTCCAAAGAGTGGTTTATTCATCTTCCCTAAACCTTCATCTTTATCTGTGCCTAATCATCAGCATAGATGCAGAACCTCTCTCCCGGTTTCAACAATGGCAAAGAAGAGGAGCGAAGAAGCTTCAGTTCAGCAACAAGCAAACTCTAGAACAGAGAAGCCAGTAGAAGAAGAGGAGGAGGAAGTAGAGGAAGACTTGCCGTGGATTCAGGAGAAGGCCATGGACCTGGTGGAGTTCACAGGTTCCGTAACGCAGGCCATTCCCGGGCCGAGAGTCGGTGGAAGCTCCTTGCCTTGGATTCTGGCAATTCCGCTAGCTTATGCAGGAATCACTTTTGTTATCGCATTCGCTAACACCGTCAGGAAGTTCAATTCTCCCAGGGAGAAAAGGAAGAAATTGGTCAGTTCTTTTTCTTCTGCTCCTTCCATTTTATTGTTATCTTTTTATTCGTTTTTTGAATTTGTTCGATTTTTTATTTCTTTTGGGAAATCGGAAGAAGAGAGCTTACATCACTTAACTATCATATATTAGGAAAGCAAAAAATGGCATAAGCCAGTGGAATCATGGTAGAGCTATTGATGCTTTGTTCGCATAGAGCAAGTGGAGACTATAAAGTGGAGGAGCGTCAGTAGAAAGGAATACAGGAGCTAGTGGATGTTATTTTTTGATTCTTATGTGGTGCCTTATTCCTTCAAGAGATTGAAGGAAGTGCAGGTTTTAGTTGGACATCATCACCATCCTCATCTAAGCCCTATCCCAACTATATGGGATTGGATACATGAATCATGTCTAGCCATTCCGTTGTGTTTAATGCTATATCCATTGTTAAATTATGAGCGTTTGAATAATTTCTTACTACTTTGACCAATGCCCTTTTTGCCCCTAGCCCTTAGTTGGACTTCCCATAGGAAATTCTTTTTTCTTTCGATGAATGTACCTTGTCAAGAGCATGTTTTGCTTATCATATCACAGGAACATCATGGTACTAACATTGAGAATTCATCCTTATTATTGATCAAAAAAAAAAAAGAATTCATCCTTATTTATTTGCTTTCTCTTTTTTCCCCTACATAATGTTCTATTAGATGCATGCATTAAGTATAGGCAGGGTTGTCCTTTTACTGTGGACTTTGTAATTTTAAATTTTTTATAGCATCTTTGTTGTCTGAAAATGTCCAAAAATGACCGTTGTATTTGTTTGTCCTCCAAAGAAGTCAGACTTCTTGGATATTTCATATTTCTACATGTCATTAGATAAATTAGATGTTTGGTCTCCTTTCCAAACATTTACTTGCCAAAAAGAAAGGCCAGGATAGGAATTGACATGCTTGCATGGTGACTTGATTCAATCTTCTAATTTTTATTCTTTTCAACTTGTTCTAAGAATTAAAAGTTTCAAGACAATTCGGTCAATCATGCCGACTATAACAAAATATTTAAGGTTATACATTTTTGCAGAATGAAAGAAACAGTAAAGAAGGAACAATATTAGATCTTTTTAGATGTTTGGGATCAATAAATCAATCTGACCTTCTGGGTGGATGTGTCCTACAAGTTTGGGTACATTTGTTTTGAATCATTGCAATAAGAAATCAGTAATACCCTATATTTGGTTTAGAAAATAGTACCCATGTCTATATCAATGTTTGCAAACTGTTGTTGACCCGGATGGTTCGACAGTTTAACCCATCACCTGGAAGCAAGACCACTTCCATTTTTACCTCAAACATATTAGAAGCCAAATAGCCAATAAAACGTTGAATTGGTTAATGAACTACTGACCATCTGGTTAAACTAGTGACTGCTCAACTTTATTCATGGCTTGACAGTTCATACTAATTTATTCCTTTTTATTTTTAATATATATTTTTTAATTATCACGAAATCAGTCTGTCAATGGGGTAGTCAAATAGAGGGGGGGGGGAGGTAAAAAGATCAAGGTTGAGAGACCCACCCCTAGCAGAAGAGAAGCTTACTGGTAGCCATGCTTACCAATATTACCATCTAAGGGGTAGATCAGCTTTAGCAGGTGGACCCATTCAACCTGGATGGTCAAACTGGTAACTGTCACCACGGACAGAAAACCGGATCAGTCTCCAGTTTGGTTTTTTAAGTACTGGTTTATATTTTTAATTTTTAAGATCTAAGAAATGAACTGGACTCTTTTTAGCCATATCACTGATTTAAGTTTTGATAAAATGAAGTAGACTTTGTTTAACCACATACTGATTCAAGTTTGATTTTCAGGTGAACAAAAATGCCATGCTATGCAAATCAATTGATGAACTGTTTCAGAAAGGGAGGGATGAAGTTCAGCATTCATCTCTCAAGGGGCTTATGCAAAAGGTGAGATCTCGAACAGAGACTGACATTATTTCCCTGAATATAATGATTGTCTTGTATGCAAACAGAGTTAGATGTAAGTAGCTAATTATTACGAAATCCGGTTCCATCTTACCATATGATATTTGCTAGAATTTAAAATTAGAAGTATCTAAAATCAAGTTCTGTGTTTATCTTTCTTTATAGTTACGATTGAAAGATTGAGTGGTGGATCATTGGTTATGGCTGAGAATTGGTTGTGCAAGAGTTTTTTTTGTCTTTTCAGAAATAGCCATTTATTCCTCTTTTTCAAACTTCCTTCCATTTAGAGCTATTGGTCCTACAATTGCGGAAAAGTATAAAACTATTTCAGACTCAGGAGTTTGTAAACCTGAACCAGGCTGGATTTTGATAAAAGAGAAATATAATTTACTATTGATAAAAGAAAAAAGTAATATAATTTACTCTTAACTAAATGACAAGGATTGTTCACCAAGAAAGTTGTGGGATATGTGGTGGACATGATCCTTTCACAAGATGTGGGAATAACATTTTCGGAATTACTGGTTGACCAGATCACATATAATATTAGACAGATGTGCAAATTACCTCTTCCCAAAACGCAAGCTAAAAGATTCTCTACTTATCAAAAAAAAAGTTAAAAGTTTCTCTCTACTTCTCTAACAAGACTATGGCAGATATATCAGCTGTACTCTAAAGTCTAAACCCATCTTAATGATCTTCTGATCTTGGCTGTGTGTGATCTAGGCTTCTAATAATTCAAATATGAAGTTCTTGATCACCAATAAGTCTAAAATTGGGAGAACATTCACCCCAAAGCCAGTCCAGTGAAGAGACCCCATATTTGCACTAATTAGAGAGGGAGAAAAGTGTGTACTCACTCCTGAAACCCCAAAGCTTCCCCAAATCAATTTTGATTACTAAAGAAATTTAAAATAGCCACAAAATACTTGAATGCCAAACCCAATCTGATTGCACATATTTCTACCAAATGAAACTTCTCAATCTCTAATCTTTATTGATTTTGGGCAAAATTCTCTAGATTACTTTCTAGGCATCACAACTGCCAACATCAATCTCCAAAAGTCCTTTAAAAATCAAGCAATTTAAATCCTGTTGATAAGCCTTCTTAATTCTCCATACTATCGGCTGATACTAGGTAAATATGGCATCACACATGACACATGAATAAGGAAGCGAACTTGCTCTGATGAACCTTAAACTGTAAGGGAATTGGGGCTTTTTGGGGGAGAGATAAGGGGTTTTATCTCTGTATTTGAACAAACTGTACTTGCCATTTTATGCTCATTTTAATAAAATTTTATGGTATTGATAAGAGAGAGAGAGAGAGAGAGAACTTGCTTTGATACCAACTTGTTTGATTTATTCAATTATGTTTTGGAAATAAAATATAGTTAGAGAGAAGAACAGAGAACAAGGGAAGAGAATGAGGACATGAGATTGATTGAGGGAGAGAACAAAAAGTTTGAGAACTGAGGCATGTTGCCTCTTGTATTTATACTGATATACTTTATACAATAAATGACCAAACTAGCCCTGGTTGAGTTCACAAATATGCATATATCAACAACATGGACCCTAATTTTTCTGTGCTTGTACAGAAGAGGCATAGCAAACATGCATATATCGACAACATGGACCCCTAGCTTTTATGATTGTCTCTCCTCTTCTCTTTCTTTTTGGATTATATTTTCTGCATCTTTATACAATAGCTTACTCTATCTCCAGACAGGTTTTGACATGGTGGAAGTTTTGCGGAAGTACATTCGGTATGCGATGAATGAAAAACCCTTCAATGCTGACTTGGTTGCTGACCTAATTCAACTCAGAAAAGCTTCTATGTTGGATGATGCCCAGGTTGCTGAAATTTTAAATGAGATCTCAAGACGGATTGTGCGAGAAAAAGGTAATTCATCCTATTACTACTCTTGTCACATGTATAGTCTTCATTACCTTTTCCTTTTCCTTTTTTTTTTGATGGATAACTGAAAACTTATATTAATTTTTTTGGGAAATAAATATATTTACAAGTTGATGAGAAAAAGGTAACTCATCCTATTATTATTTTTTTGATGGATAGCTTGTATGCAAGCTAAACATTGAAAAGGCCTATCATTTAGTGGACTGGTCATTTCTTTTAGAGATCATGAGAAGATGTGGATTTGAGAAAAGATGGTGTTGATGGATCTTTGGGTGTCTACATGCTTGTCACAACTTAGTGTTAGTAAATGGAATATTAAGGGATTTCTTTCCTGCTTGTAAAGGGCTTAGACAAGGGGATCCACTTTGGGAGGGTGTTTTAGGCCTATTTGTAATTTGTCTTTAGTTTGGAATGCACCTCGCACCTCTCCTTGAGCCTTGTACTGCTTCTGATAAAAGAAAGACAAGTGGATCCACTTTTTCCCTTTGTTTTTATCCCCGCACCTGATGTCTTTGGCAGACTAATCTCTAGAGCAAATAGGAAGCAATTAAGGGTTGGAGAGTTGGGAGGGAAGAGGGATAATATTGTAGTCATTCATCTTAAGTTTGCAGATGATATAATAATATTCTATGAAGGTTGTGACTCTCAGCAAGTGAGAACTTGAGGATGTTGGTGAATTTGTTTGAGTGTATATCCAACCTGAATATAAACCTTGACAAGAGTTGCATTGCTAGGATTGTTGTGGGAGATAGCAGGAATTCTAGGGTGTTTGTGTTGGAAATATGATTTCCATGTGCTCATTTAAAGCCATATTATATCTTTGTACTGATTCATTCATTAATAAAAAGAGAGACTGCTGTATATGGGGCATTTTATTAATGGTTATATTTGTGTGATCGGAAAGTTCGTAGGTAACATTGTAGGGCGTTTAGGTGATGAGTGAGACTTATCACGGGAGATTTGGGTTACCTGGTTCTTTGTAAACATAGAACATCCCAATTAAGGGTGAGCTTGGGCAGCTCATTTATAAGGTTTGCACATGGACGGTTTCCATCATATGGTGTGATAATATCTCAGCCAATGTTTTAAAAAATGACCCGATTTCCAGGTCGACAGTTCAACCATATGGTTTCGACGGACAGCCCATTTTGACAAAAAATTAAAAAACAATAATTAAAATAAAAAAGGCCAAAAACCGTTGAAAGGATTGAATGGGTTGGCGGGTTGATGGTTCCCAGGCCGAACGGTCCAACTGTCTGGGTCAACAACGGTTCGAAAACATTGATCTCAGCCATTGGGGTGAGAGTCCAAATTGCTATGTGTGTGTGTATTAGATACACACTGATCTGATTCAGCTAAGTTTGATTCATCACAAGATAGGCATGTCACTATTAATAGAATGGATCACATAGTTATGGAGATGTTTCTGCCCTTGGACCTGAGGAGTTCTCAGGACTGTAGTATCATCATGATCAGTCACTTTGATGTGCTATGGGTGAGGTTACCATTGGGTTGTAACTAACATACTTTGTCTACTGTGAGGATGAAAGTGATATTATAGCTAGGGATGAACTTAGGCAAGCTTTGGTTGGACTTTTGTCAAAATTTGAATGGGCCTAGCCTAAAGTCCTGAGCCTAAAGCAATGCAAAATGCTAATTGGGCCAACCTGAGTTGCACTCCTAATTATGACTCTAAGAATATCCAATAAGGGATCCATACCCTCAAACAAGAGGAGAGTGTCACAGCCAAGAAGTTGACCTACACTTGAAGATGGTTTCATCAAGTTAAATTTTGATGGGAGCAGCCATGGTAATCTAGGTCCCTCTGAAATAGGGGGGATATTTAGATACAAAGATGGTCATACTGTAGCTTTGTTTTCAGGTTCAATTGGTGTTGTGTTTCTATAGGGGCTGATCTCCTTGTTGTATTTCAAGGAGTGTAACTGTCAAAAGACATGAACATGGACAAGCTGATTACTGAAAGTGGTTCTAAGGTAGTCAAGAAACATGTCCAAAAAATGAGTGTGGGAAAAATGTGTATGCTGAGATAGATGGAGAAAACTGGGGCTGTTGGAAACGTTGGGCATGACACATCAAACAATTCAATCTCCTATTTGTCTTTTTGATCAAAAAGATAATGAAGGGCAATTACTCTTTTACCCCACACCCATGGTAGCATTACTAACATGTCATTGACCAAGAACGTTCCCCCCCCCCCCCAAACACTGATAAAAAAAAAAGAACATTTGCCCCAATAGCCAATGGATGAGTGGAAAAACTAGAAAGATTGGGGTCAGAAATGAAGTCATTCAGAGGAACCTGGGAATAGCTCCATGGGTGATAAATGTCATGCCCAATACACACCATGTTTGGAGTCATGGTATGCAATCAAATCTCTGATAATTAAAACTGGGAAAATCAACATGTATACTAAGCAGCTCCAATTGGTTTGCATTTGCACCTACTTTCTTAAGAACTCCACCAACGGCCCAGGCATTTCTAGATATCAGCTTATGGTATGCCCCTCCTGGAAATTGTTCAGGTTATAATGGAATCACTTTTTTTTTCTTGTCTTTTTTTAATCATTGGGCTATAATTGAATGAACATCGTGTCTTCTTAATTGAACTCAACACAATTTTGATGAATGTTGGCCTTAGACTTGTGTTACTTGGTATTTCAGGCTAACTTCACTAGACTTCATCATAAATGTATTTTTTCATGCCTTTTGTGAACAAGCAATCGGACCATGTCATTGGTTGCTGGGCTTGAAGCCTAAAATGATCTTGAAAAGTTGCCCTTTGGATCAATTTGTTGATTGAGCTATTGTATGCAAACCACATTTGTGGTAGAATTACACCCCATGCCGTAAGTCTATCTTTTTATCAAGTATCCAAGAAGATTTCCTGAACTCCTATTAACTATTGGCCATTTGTTTGTGGATGTTGTGACATAGAGAACTCAGTTTTGTACCCAAAGAGCTTTCCAGAAGTAACTAATAGACTTGATATCCCTTGTGATGAAATGGATTTGGGTACTTGATGGACGAATGACTTCTTTGAAGAAATCATAGATGTCTGTAGCATTTACCACCGAGGAATGATGTGTGTCTCCTTTCAAGAACTGGTCAAATTACAAAAATAGAAACTTGACTTTTTGCATCTTGGGTAGGCTTTGTACTTCCTAAAACTGGAATTAGCATATACTCGGTCTAAGAACTTCCAGATTTTATACTTGGTTCAGTTCTATATTTGAACCCTTAAGCTCAATTGCAATAAGATGTTGTAGGCTAGCTCTTATAAATTACCTTTAAAATACAAATGGCAACTAAAAGAATCCTAAAGATCTAATTATTTATCAACTGGGGTACAATCCTTTCTTGCACGAAGACCCTGTCAATAAAAGGGTAGTAACTTTCCCAAACATGCGCTGTTCACAAGATCATGTTGTTGTATATCTAACTAAAACCATCTTATCCCACCAAAATCAAGTGAAACCCAAAACTTAAAGCTGCAAAAAAGTGATGAATCAACAATTTCAACTTCTTTTAAATCTTAAAAACATTCTAATAATGACCTTAAAACCATTAATAACCTTTAGAATAATTGAACATTTTTCTGTGACAATAATGGAACAGAAAGTAATTAAAAAGGACATCAGAATTTACCAAAATCAAAATTTTCAAAAATTAGAAAATTGACACTGGATGAAAAATTCTCCATGGTTCTTTCCTTCTCATGGCTTCATCACCAACAGTCTGGCCCATATTTCTATTCCAGACACAGGTAGAACTAACATTTATTTCAAGGTTATCAAGTAAAATACCTTGCTAAAGAACATTATAAAGCTTTGAAACAATGCTTTATTGCTCAGTTAATGTGCTTTGTTGTCCATATTTTTCAGGTCCAGTAGTAATGGATATGTCAGGATACTCGGAAAAGGGTTTAAAACGAAAGCTTGCTGTTCAGGCCCTTTTTGGGAAGATATTTTATCTATCTGAGGTAAATTGATGTTTTATGAGTATTCCCTTTTATATTGGAATTATGAGTATTCCCTTGTCATTTTACATAACTTTGTTGCCTCAATTTTTTAGATGATATTAGTACTTATTCAGTATGGCATGGTCGTCCAACTTCATATTTTACCAGCTTTCTATTGGAGAGGCCAAAAATTGTTTGTTCAATCACACAATGCTAAAAGTCAAAACTAAGTGTAATGGACATGGATGGTATTATTGCCTGAATTCTGCAATATATCAAATTTGTTTTCGTAATCGCCCACCAAATGGTTGCATGTGGATTGTACAGTCAGTGTACCTATTGAAGTGGGGGCTGGGGAGGACAACTTATGTTCTACCCTTGAGTGGTGACTTGGTTTTTTTTCTGCATCATATTTCTAGTTATTTGAATTTAAGAATTTTAGTTGTTTTCAAACTAGTTGTGTTATTGTGTACAATGTGAATTCCATGTTTGACTAGTAGGGTGTTGGTTAGCAGCAAGTTGAATTGATTACCCTTTTATGTTTCTTCCTGGACCAGCTGCCAGAGTTCTGTTCGAGGGACAGCTCCTTAATTGTCAAGGAAATATTTGGTGTTACAGAGTAGGTCTTTTCCCTTCTGTCTTTACAGAACTTCTGTCATCCTCCTGAATTTCATCATTGATATATTAATAATATTTTATTTTTGTTTTCATGTATACAGTGAAGATCTTGACACTCTTCGAATACATACTTTCTCCAATGATGGGGATGTTGATTCAATTCAGAAGATGGTAGATAGTCAAGAATCAGGGGAATCCAGTGACGATTCATCCAATGCTTCACGAGATTGATTATGTAATTCTGGGAGTGTAGAAGCAGGGGGCAAATTGCAGTGTTGGGCTTAGTTTAGCATGGGGAGAATTAGAAGAGTAATTTGGGGGTTTAGCCCCACAGAAAGATGGTCTTATATATTATGTAGTTCAGGAGATTTTGTTTTTTCTTATAAGCAGTTCAGAAGAAGATAATGTGAGAAGAAAATTTTGGCGAGTTCTATTTTTTTTTTCATGGTAATACATTCTGTGAGCTTGAAATACTAAATGGATGGTCTCATCTTGCTTTTGTATTCAGAAAACACTGGTTCAATCTCTTTAATGCAGTTGGGTAAATTCCCAGAATGCACTTGCTTGTGAAAATTTCATACACATCTTGGGCTTTTTGTTGAGAGGTCTGGCGGCCCCCTCTAGGCTATTTCCCTTTTAAGAGTAAACGAGGCTCCGTTTCTTTACAATGCAATTCCATTTGCACTAGCACAAATTCATAGTGTAAATGACAAGGTTTTAAATTCTTGTTCAATTTTGCTTTAGGTTTTACATTGCCTTGGTTCAGATTTTACTTCATCTGCAATGTAGACAAACAAAATAAGACAAGATAAAGCAAAAAAATAAATCAAATTTAGCACTCCCATACTTTTGCATCAATGCAAATGAAATGGCAATGCAAACGAGCTAGTTAGCTAGGCCTAATTGCAATATAAATAATTCAGACATGTCAGTTGAACCAGTGACGGACAAGCTTTCAGGTTGGGTCTCTTATTTGATGATTGATGATTTCTTACAGTAAAAGGCTGAACCTTCTACCCTTATGGTAACCAACTGTAAAACTGTGACCCAGTTTCAAGGGTTGCATCTTGTATGGAAGTGGGCCATGATCATGGATGGATAGATGGCTGCATTCAATCACAAGATTCACAACCTATACATATTAAGCTCCAACACCATTTCACCTAATTAAACACATGTATCTCAAATCCATCCAAACGCAATAAATTAAAGTTTAAATCAGGGCTTAGACACAATTTAATAGTAGTTCTGTACTGAGAAATTGAGCACAAAACTAACATTATCACTGCTGAAGCAGTTATAACTTATAACAGGCTATCGAATCAAAAACCCAGATAAATCAAAAATGTAAATGCAAAAGACATTTCTGAATGCGTGGCAGCGTCCCAGTTTGAGTATCACCCATCACAACGCATGAAAACCAGAGAAAGTACAGCTACTGTCTACTGTACAGAGGTGCCAGAACTGCATGAGTAACTAAGCTTCAACTTCTTTGATTCTTGTTCTTCTCTTCTCTATATATTCTTTACCCAACCAGCTCCAGCCTACACTGCTCATCAGATCAATTCAGAAGAAGAAAATTAATGGCGATGGGAGAGATGTGGGTTAAGGGGTTAGGATCAAAGATGGCAAGCTTAATGTTCCTCTGGGCCTTGCTTCAGCAATGCTTCTCGTGCCACCTTCGAGGCTTCATCGAGAAGTACGTGCGTCGATGGACGAGTTTCTTTAACCCCTACATTCAGATCACCTTCCATGAATACAACGGAGATAACTTCTGCCGCAGCAAGGTCTACAGCGCCATTGAATCCTATCTCATCGCCAATTCATCCCTGCGTGCCAGCCGGCTCAGAGCTGATATTGCCAACAACTCCAGGAAGCTCATCCTCAGCATGGACGACTACGAGGAGGTGACTGATGAGTTCCATGGCGTCAAGCTTTGGTGGTCTTCCCACAGATCCATCTCCAAGACACCATCTTTGTCCTTGTACCCCACCGCCGTCGAGAAACGCTACTACAAGCTCACCTTCCATGGCCGCCACCGGGAGCTCGTCACTGCGTACTACTTGAACCATGTAATCGACCAAGGGAAAGCAATCGAAGTGCGAAACCGGCAGAGGAAGCTCTACACCAACATTCCCAGTGAGAGCTGGTCTAGCTACAGGAAGACCATGTGGAGTCATGTGGCGTTCCAGCACCCCGCGACGTTCCAAACTCTGGCGATGGAGCCGGAGAAGAAGAAGGAGATCGTTGATGATCTCGTTGCCTTCAGCAAAGGCAAAGACTACTACGCCAGGATTGGGAAGGTGTGGAAGCGTGGATATTTACTGTATGGACCTCCTGGAACGGGCAAGTCTACCATGATTGCCGCCATGGCCAACCTCCTGGATTATGATGTCTACGACATCGAATTGACAGCAGTGAAGGACAACACAGAGCTGCGGAGGCTATTGCTCGAGACGTCCAGTAAGGCCATTATTGTCATCGAGGACATCGACTGTTCGCTTGACCTCACTGGTCGACGGAAGAAGAAGGAGAAGGAAGAAGATGGACATACAAACAAGGTGGACCCAGTTGAAAAGGGTGCTGAAGAAGAGGGTAAGGAGAAGAACAGCAGAGTTACACTCTCTGGGCTTCTGAATTTCATTGATGGGATCTGGTCTGCATGCAAAGGGGAGAGACTGATAGTGTTCACCACCAATCATGTGGATCAACTCGACCCGGCTCTCATACGGAGAGGCCGGATGGACAAGCACATTGAACTGTCCTACTGCAGGTTTGAAGCTTTCAAAGTCTTGGCAAAGAATTATTTGGAGCTTGACTCGCACAGGTTGTTTGAGAGGATTGGTCAATTGATGGGGGAAACTAAAATGACTCCTGCAGATGTTGCTGAGTATTTGATGCCCAAAATCCAATCTGGGTGTGCAGAGACTTGCCTAGAGAATCTGATTAGAGCTTTGGAGTTGGAAAAGGAGGAAACAATGCTTAAGGCAGAAGAAATTAATGTCAAAAAGATGCCAGAAATGTTGGTCAAGGAAGAAGCAAAGGAAGGAAGTAAGGAAGACTGAGTTCATAAATAAGATTTTCAGAAGGCTATATATATGGCTGCTTTGGAGTTTCTCCTTCTTGCCAAAGTCCAAAAACTTGAACAAAATCGTTCTTGAATAAGATTGTCTTCAGATAGTAGTTGGGCTCTCTCACAAATCTTATGAATGGCTGAGGACTCCTTTCTTATGCAATATATTCTTGCTCGCCTGTCTGGTTGTTAAAACAATCTCCATAGATGGTGAAAAGGTGTCTGTATTGGGTGAAATTGATGGTTTTCCTGTGTAAGTGTTCTTTTGTTGAAGTTGGGTCTTAGTTTAGGTGTCCCTTTGAGTTGTGTGTCAGTTTGTTTCTGTTGTTTTCTGGTCTGGTATTCTTCTGGGTGGTGTCTATTTGGTTGCTTTGTTTATTGTTGCTTGTTCTGGTTTAATGAATTTGCTTTTTACCAAAGACAAAAAGATTTATAGAGGATAATCCTTAGTATACTAAAATCTATTTCGTATTCATCTCAATTCACTGAATGTCATTCAGAACATAGCAGGCTGGGCTGTTCCTAGTAGAGATGTGTATATCTAGGCTCAGTGTTAACCTTAGGCAGGTAGGTTGGGCATGGGCAATAGATAATGGTTTCTTTTTACACCTTATAAAAGAAATGCAGCTATGGGAACTTTAACTCATCAATGAATATGATTTGTATTTCTCCTTGACAGGTTAGAAGGCATATTGGCAGTAGCAAGCACTGATTATTCTTTATCGTCCTATATACTTACTTACCAAGACACCCTATGGTTTGCAAATTGCAACCGGTTTACTTATTAATGGTTTTCTTAGACGGGGATGGGAAATGACATCTTTGACGCTAAGACTGCGTTTGTTTAATTTTCAGTGTAAATACGGAGCGATATAAAACTCTATTGCCGCGCGTTTGTTTTTAATGTAAGTTTTACATTAAGTATTGCAATTCAGAAAAAGTTACAACGGTTCACTCATTTTAAACCCATCCGTGTTGAACTCCATCAATGTACTTTTATATAGATGACAGTTTGCACCAAAAACAAATGCAGCCTAGAAACAAAATGTTGGCTCTAATAATAATAAGGAATTGCTTCTTATTCCAATAACGTCACATTATTTAAGTTTCATATAATTTTGCATTTTTTTATTTAGACAAAATAAAGGGAAACCAAAGGAGAAATTTTCTTTGATCTGTCTATACAGACGACTACTTTTTTTGGTGCCTTCATAGCTAGAATTATTCAACAACTTCTGGAGCATCTTAGGGCACCTGCAGATCTTGTTAGTGACCTCACAGTTCTAGCATCTGCAACAGGGAACCTCTGTTGGCGGTTATAGCGCGGCATTGTTCCTCTCTTACCTGTTTGTCTGAAATAAGCCCCATTGATAAAAACATCCTTCACAGATTGCCAGTTCCATGAATACCCATCACCTCTGCTGTCCTGCTTCCATGTCACCTGATGAAACAACCCACTGTGAGATCAAGAAAACCTCAGATTCATAAAAGCTATCTCCTCAATTTAGGAAAAAAAAAGTTGCTCTTTAGGCCCACTTTACTTTTCTCCAAGTTACTCAGTGTTTCTGAGAAATACTTATCCAGGTAAATATATTTATTCATGTTCTTTTATTTCTGAGATAAATAAGATAATGACCATTTTAACCATAAAAACTATTATTAAAAATGGCATTTTGTTTCATCCAAGTGTTGGCAAAATTTCTCTCCACGTGTAAAAATTACTTATCCACCTAAGAGATAATTATCAATTATAGAGAGGAATAAATTTTCCATAAATCCCACATTAATTTGAAAAGAAAAGTATATTTTGGTCAATGAAAACCAAAATCCTATTGACTAATTTTCCCCCTCTCAAAATCCAAAAAAATTGAACCCCCTTAGAAGCATTCAAGGGATGAGAGGTTTGAGAGTCTTACTGCTTTATTTCCAGATTTGGGAGCTATGAAGAGATTGGATTCACTTCTGATGCTGGGGTTCATGCTTCCACCAATGGCGTACTGTGTCCATCCTTGGTACAGATTGTTTGCAACATGTGCAAACCCATGGCGGATCCTTCAGTTTCAAATTCCATATTTAGTATATATTTTCATCTTCTCCATCTAGACTTAAACATATTGCACAGTAGAGAGTTGACTGTTTACAGAAACAAATTAAGTTGATCATCACCTTGGCATTCGTTGATTGCAGTTGGGACCAAAATGGTTGAAGATCACTGTCACCCTCATGTTCTTGTCCTGAACAAAACCATCGTCATGGCCCAGAAGCATCACCTTGTCATGGTTCCTGAACCAGTTGTTGGAAACAGTAATATCAGTAGACCCACGAGTGACATCGAGCAGACCATCCTCACATTCATAGAAGGTGTTGTGATCGATCCAAATCTTTGAGGACCCAACCAGGCGGACTGCATCACCATCTAGCTGTCCTAACTGCACAATCTTGGATCCTGGGCCCATCACCGGACCGGGAGCCTGAGATCGGCAATGGTGGAACCGGAGGCTGTGAATGATAACGTTGGTCACCTGAAATCATGCCGCATTTCTTTTGTTTATTCCTCACAAAATGGACCGACTTAGGGATGCTAATGAAAATTCCAAAAACCGTAAAACTGATCAACCAAAACAGAAAATCCTAACAAAAAAGGAGTAACCAAGCCAAACCAAATCGGTCGATTCAGTTTTGGTTTGATTTTTAGAGATTTGGTTTTTCAGTCCGGTTTCAGTTAACCTAGAAAAAAATGTGGTTAACCCAACTGATCAATATATTTATATTTTATATTTGGGTTCGACTATGATGCATAGGAAAAACATGATACTGAAAAAACTTATAACCAATCAACTAGCATGATAATAAAAGTGCTAACCAATCACTCAATCTGGTGGGTGTTCATTAAAATTTGGGAGGATTTGGGTCTGGGTGATGTTTGGCATTGATGATGATTTATTGAAAATCACTGTCATGTTTGAGGGTCATCCATTTTAGTGATTTTCAAATAATCGGTCAAAAATCAATTATTGAAATCAGCCCTTTTGAATAAAATTCTAATACAAAAATAATGGGCCCTTGAGAATCAGTACCAAACAAATTCAAATCTGATTTAAGTAGCAGAAATGATGCTAAACAAAGTTATCAATTTTTGAAAAACACACCGATCTTTAAAAAATCGGTAAAGAAGAATCAGCGTCAATGCCAAACATCACCTTGATTTCAGTATCATGTCTTTCCAGTATCATAGAGGTAGTGTTTGGTTTTTACTTACGCCATAGAGCAGGAAGCATGCACCACCAGCTATGTGAACATTGGCGCCACGTCCATCAATGGTTGTGAAGCTGCTAACCAGGAGTGGCTTTTGGAGCTTGATCTGCATGTCTCTTTGGAAGGTTATCCACAGCTTCCCTCTCATCTTTGTCACTCCATACCTCAACGTCCCAGGCTTGGGATTCAATGGGTCATCGCTGGGGTCTTTCACTGTGTAATGTCTCACACCCCTACCCATGTTGTTTGTCATCTTTCCGGTGAACCCCACCGAGCACGTCGCCAGTTGCTGTCTGTTCCTCCGCCAATCGGGACGTCGCCGGCACCGGTCGATCACATTCATGCCTGCAGAGTTCCTGCTCCTCTGGGCAATGCTTGTGCTTGCTAGACTACTGAGGAGGAGGATAAGAAGCAAGATGGCAGCAGAACTAGTGGTTGTTTTAAAGGAGATCATGGTTATATTCATATTGATCTCTGCTGGTGACCGGGAGATTTTAAGTCTAGTCTAGAAAGAAAGCAAGCTATCTCTTCTGGGTTGCAATTTGGCGTCTGGCTGAGTTGAGGCAAATCAAGACAGTACTAGCTATTTAACAACTTCATTTAATTGCATGTTAATTGAATACTGCTTAATGAAACATAACGTAATTCAGTAAAGAGGTTGTTGGTTAAAAACTTGGAACTATTGTGCCTAATTTAGTGAAGAGAAACGTATCTAGTTCCCTTAGGTTATGTTTGGTTTGAAGGAAAAATAGGGAAAGGAAAGAAAAGGTTTTGATACCTTTCTCTACCTTTTTCCTTCAAACCAAACATAGCCTTAATGCGTCTCTCGGTATTTTTTATACTCATTCATTCTTCATTAGATGTTTTCTTTATATATCATTAACTCTTGCCAAGCTGCTATAAGATAGACCCAGAATCGAATCAATTATAACCAAAATTAATGACAGTAAAGTTGATAAGACAAGTATTTTTAACCAACATTAATCGTCCATGTTGCAGGTTTCTTGAATTAATTGCAGTCTGAAAGGAGTTCAGGCGTTTCTCCTGCTCCATTCTATATTAATTATTAATGAATGGAGACATCTTTTGAAAACTAAACAAAGCCCATTGACCATATTATGCAATGTCCCAACGCCAGAATGAATCAGGCTGTCTGTTACGGATTAGACCTATGGGTAGTTTGGGTTTAGTAGTTGATAAACCGAATTATTTAGTCTTAACTGGGCAGAATTCTTGAGGCTGGATTGGAGTTGCACCTTGGGCCGGTTAGTCTGAACCCAGCACAAAGAATCCAGGTTGGATTGGGTTAGGATTGAGCTTTTGGACAAAGTAACCCAACATGAACCCGAAATGTCTATTCTTTTTTTTTACGCAAAAAAAAATGTCTATTCATGCTTGTATATATAAATATCAATATTTTAAAAAATGACCTGGAATTGGAACCACTCTGGCCATCGGAAAAATTGGAACCGGTTAAGTGATCGGTTCTGTTTTTCTCTAAAATTGGATTTTTGCCAAAAAAATGTTGATTTGGTCAGCAAATCGCTGACCCGGGCATTCAACAGTTTTGACCATTTTTTTATTTTTTTATTTTTTCTGTCAGAACAGACCGACTGTTCAGTTCAAATGGTCAGACCGTTCGACCGGGAACTGGACCCCTGACCGATTTGCTGCCTGGGTCGATTTTAAAAACCTTGGTTTGGAATGTCCCCTGATTAAACGCTCAGGCTTCTTTTGTAGCCCCATTGGTCCCCCTCTCAGGAAACATGTGAATATGGTGTTTTCAGATCTTATGAAGAATTCTGGGAATTGGGATGATGTAAATAGGATGGGTAATATTCTAGGTCCTCATATGGTGCAGAAACCGAGTGTGTTAGTTGATCTGTTTCGATGCAGAATCAAATCTTGCAATTAGCACTCAGGGGGAAAAGGGGTCAGAGAAAGTTATTAAGAACATAAAAAAAAAAGGATTTTTAGACTGCACTCCACCTCAGAATTCTAATTTAAACAGACCTATAACAATTCAAAATTATAATCAGTTCCACTTATGACATTTATACCCGCCCATGAATTGGCATCAATTCCGAACTGGCACCTACCCCACCTATACAGTGGAGTTAGAAATTCTGAGGGTGGACTAAACAGTAAAAACTCCAAAAAATATGGTGCAACTGATTGTGAATACTCATATTTTTTAAATTTCCTCAGGAAAATCATTTTGTCTGGGTGTTGGGTAAATCTGGGGTATTGACTCTTAAAGCAATCTATTTTCATATTTGGAAAAGTATGGCAAATAGGCTTCCTTTGGCTTATCTTAGTCTTATTAGGAAAGTTTAGAAGCTCCCTGTTCTCCCGAGGCATAGGTTGTTTCTTTGGAGATTGCCAAGGAATAATGTATTGGTTCATTCGGTTATGTTTCCTAGAGGTATCAATGTTTTTTCAAATTGTGCTTTTTTCTTTTTTGTCAAAACTCATCTGAGCATGTGTTGCACCTGTTCTTTTGTTAATTTTCGTTTCCTTCCCCTTGGGATGTTAGGTTTTTTGAAGGTTTTAATGGGAACGCTTGTGATTTCATTTTGGAGCTGTTTGAGTAATTTCCCCTCTCAAATAGATAAGACTTTGTTTTTATCTTGGCTTGCTTTGGCTTCTTATTCTATTTGCTCCGTAAAGAATGCCATTTTATTTAGAGGTGAGGTTTTGAGTTTGAATAGAGTTATTAGAAGGATTAGAAACCCTTTTACAGAGTGTAAGTACAGTGGTAAGGCGGTAAGGGATGGTCTTTTTGAAAGACAAAGATGGGATCAAGGCTTCAATGGAGATTGCAAGTTAAGGTTGCATATAGACTTTCAATTCTGAGGAAGAGGAGGTTTGGGAGGTCTCAAGTGGTGAGAGAGTGAGTGTCAAGATTGTGTTCCATCCCCCTTTTATAGAGAGAATCCCGATGCTATAAGGAAAATGATCCAAAAAAAAAACATTTCCTATTAGGAAAGGAGATCTTTGTCCTTATGTCAATTATTAAGGAAGCATCATTGGGGTTTTGTTACATGTCCAGCAAGATCCTTCAAGGACAAAGCTTCCTTTCCCCTAAAGATTCTCGTGTGGCACGTGTTGGCTATATCCCTTTATGAGTTTCTTGTGACTACATGTCAAGGACAAGATCTTAGCATGATTGAAGGAATGTCAATCACCCATAGGCAAGCGTCGCTAGTCTCAAGTTCTATCCATTGTTCTTTACAACATGAGCTACTATTTCATGCTCATCACAAGGTACTGGTGGTGTATTAGGTTTGTTTCATACTAGCAATGTCATTTTATGTCCATTACAAACCTTAGGTGGCGCCCGTTACTCATTGCAGGTCCTAGGAGGTATTTTATGCTCATCACAAGTCTTGAATGACCCCCTATGCTCATCTCAAGTGTATAAGCCTTGCATCATTTTGATAAGGTGTCATCGTGTTATTATAAAGGTGTCTCAATGTCATTTTATATCCATCACAAGTCTCAAGTGACGCTCGTTCATTGCAAGTCCCAAGAGATGTTTTATGCTCATCACAGGTCTTGAATGGTCATCTGTGCTCATCACAAGTGTATGAGCCTTGCGTCATTCTGGTAAGGTGTCATTGTGTTATTATAGAAGTGTCTCGATTGTTCTAGTGCCTCAGATGTCTCTCATCGCTTTGTCTAATTTAATCAGTTTGTCTCTCTCGGCTAGGGGTTTCTCTATGCGGTTTGAGGTCTTCATTAAGGTTCCGGTGATGACAAACTACATGTATTTACACAAAGTGTTCTAGACCTATAATTTCTAATTCACATCATATGGTTAGTAACAATTCTTCAAGTGAGAATGTATCATATTCGGTTCAAGCAGATTTTATGGCTATTTTGCTTTGTGGAGGTATCATTTCAGATTCCCTTGGGTCTTCTGGATTTGTTTGTTTGGATGCTATCAGTTTTATCGTTGTTGCAGCAGGACAGTGTGCGACTTGTGCCGGTCCATTGCGGGTGGAGTTTTTTGCTATTTTGAAAACTGTTCAGTTTGCTAAGGACAGAGGTTTATCTAAAGCGTTGGTGAAGTCTAATTCGTTGATAGCTGTGAATGGAGTTTGCTCAAGTGTTCCTCGGCAGTGCTTAGAGATAGTTGATAATATTGTCTTTTAAGTTTATAGCTTTGAATGTTGGGTTGATGATCCTCCCCCGTTTTTGCTGAACTCTTTATGTAAATTATGTTATTAAACTAAAGTTCCATAAATCTAGAAACTTAAATAGATGTCTGATTGAGTCTTCTGGTATAAAACTAGGAATAGAAACTGCTACAACATGATTGAATTAGAGAAACAACCACCCACCCAGGCTTGAAGGTCAATCCTGGTTGGATGTTATGCTTCTATCAGGGTTTTAATTACAGGAAACCATGTCTCAAGATTATCATTCAAATCTAGAAAAGAATACAATGAGAAACTTCAACAGAAGTCTAATTAAAGTCTCTGGTATGAAAACCTGGAATAGAAACTTCTATAAGATTGAATTAGAGAAACAACAGCCACTCAAGCTTGATAGTCAATCTTGGTTGGATGTTATGCCTCTAGCAGGGTTTAAAGTCCAGAACACCATGTGTCAAGATTCTAGTTCATACTCAAAAAGTCCAAGAAAATACCAAATGAGGACATTCACCTTGATATTTTCTTAGGTACGAATATTTGCAAGACATTCAAATTCAAACACCACTGCAAACATGGATAGGATGTATAGATGAACTTGATAATAATGAAAGAATTTTTTTCTTTTTTTTTTTGGATTTTCCTTGGTAACCAGAAAGATTCTCCATTACACCATTAAGCTACAACTCTGATATATTCCACACCCCTCCAAAATGGAGTGCTTAATTAGGACATCACCTTACCCAGTGAGTCATCTCTGTTTAGAATCCAGCCAATTTTTTTGTTATGTATGAAAATCCAAGTAACTTGGATGCTAACACAGGTACAAAACCCTGCTTTCTGCAATTGAGATGCTATCATGTTCAATTCCCTTGAGACCTTGTGATTAGGACAAAATCTAAGCATGATTGAGACCATCTAGCTGCAAGACATAAAGTTTCCAAACAAAAGAATTCCTTGGTAATAAAGAAAATAATAAAAAAGCACATAGGTTTGCTGAAACAAGGGAAAACTCAAAACATCTCATTATACTGTTTGATATTTTCAATTAAGTGCTGCATATATGGCAGTTTTCCAAAACTCCAAGAATTACCTTGGCAAAGATTTACATTTTTCTCCATAGGTTGATGATACCATCAGCAAATGACTTAAGGCTTCCCCACACAGTTGATCTCTTTTGTGACGGTTCTTCTTTGTTCTCTTTAGCAATGTCTCTGTACAATGGCAACCAGTAGAATACATCAGGTTTCACAATGTGATGATGGATAATAGGCTACATAAAGGTGACAAAAGAAGGAAATCCATATATTATTTTCATTATGTAGCCAAAGTATGTCGTTGCTAAGCTAAAACAAGTTCATGCTGGAAATGCTTCTTTTATTATACTTTTATCAGTGGCTTCCTGACTGAGAAATGCAGTCATTCATCACATGGCAACTGTTGTTCTGGAAACAAAAGTTAAAAAAGAGAGTTTCCTGGTATAACTTAGTTCCAAAGTGAGGGACCATTGATTTAGGGGATTTTTTCCAATATGTATATTTTTGTTTTTCGAAACAAAAACAACTGCCACATCAGCAAAAACAATCTGATTTTGCTGATGTGGTTGTTCTCGTTTCAAAAAACAAGTACATATTGGTCTGTCCTTCATGAATGAAACACCATGGGACAACAGCAAAGAATAAAACTTTCTCTCATTCATGAATTAATGAAATAACTCCTTATGGAATATTCTCCTGATAGTTTTCCGCAGCGACCATGTCCAAAACCTCACATTCATGTTCAATTCAATAGCTTCTCACAATCAGTTACCTTCAATTTCTGAAAGCAGTTCCACTAGGAATCTAGTGATTCTAGTCATCCTTTTGTACCAGCTACCACAAAAACGATGAAAGGAGATGGAAAAATTACCTTTCAAATCTATCTGATTCATGTGTTTCTTTACCAGCCTCCTTCATGATGTCTCCTTTTTGACCATTTGAATCTAACAAATTTTCATGAGTAGCTTCTTTTTGTTCACTGTTTTCTAGTTTTTCAGGATATGGATAAAGAACATCCTTGCTTTCCAGTTTTCTCTGAATACTAGGTGTTCCAACTGAAGAGTGACTAACCTGCACATTAAATATACCAAATAAATAACCAAAAAAAAGTATATGATGGAAAACTACTCTTGTATATTAGAGAGATTAAAATTCAGTTGGGACAAAGGAAGAAATCAAACTACCCTCGTCACCAATATGCCAAACAGGTGAACTATGAAAGAAGGGACGGATACACCTACAAGAAAAGTCATCCAGTACATATGACAAACTAAAAGTGATTCGGTGACTTTAATGGCCTATACAATCTAGTTTGGGCAGTTAAAAAGTACACTATGCAATAACACTCAACATACAAAAAGATAAAATCTGTGGGCAGTCATTCATCTTTCATGATCCATCTTTGAAGATGAACTAAAAATTCTACTTGGTGTATAGCAATTAACAATCCAAAACTAAACCCCTGGATCTTGTAGCACGTTGCGGTTCCCACCCTTCAAAACCTTACTGGCATATTCTTCCTATGGGAAAACTACAACAAAACAAAAACTAGCAATAATTTGACAAGTGAAAACACCATATTTGTTTAAGGCTTACTGTTGGTGTAGGGCCTTCAGACTCTTTGGATAAGGCATTCTCAATCCAAGGAGAAACTTTAGGACCTTCTTTTGCTTTAAAATGTTGGCTAGCTGCTTCATCCATTTCCTTGTTACCAATAGCTGTCATGTGATTATTTTCCTCAATTCTCAAGTCTTCTTTTGCTTTAAAATGCTGGCTAGCTGCTTCATCCACCTCCTTGTTATCAATGATTGTCATGTGATTATTTTCCTCAATTCTCAAGTCAGGTTCACAAGAGGTGCAACTCATTGTAGCTTCACAGCTTAATTTATCTTCAACTTTTATTTGTGTTTCATGCTTAACTACTTCTTCCTTTTCCAACAAAGTTTCAACCTTTTTGCTTATAGGGGGTAGTTTGGATCTGTATTCTAGTTCCTGAAGAATCTGCCTGATAACATAATACGAGCCACCCAAATGTTTTCTGGCAACAGAAGGTGTAGGGAACTTTCCAGCATTTGAGGCTCTGAACCTGCAAAAGGATCATAACAGTAATCCCATTGATGATTTATAGTTGCTAATAAAAAAATACTCTTAAAATTACAATCTTTGAAAATTTTGACTCAGCTCCACCCTAAGGCCATAATATTGTGTTTGCACCATTTCGTTTTATTCCAGATTTCTGCATCTCAACCATTGTATTTATTGCATTCTATCTACATCCCCTGTGTTTTATACCTTGTGCCCAGCTCCTTTTTTTATTTTTTTATTTTTTTTATGAATGGTGCCCAGCTCTTGTATGATAAGGATTTTGTAGTGGCAATCCTGATGTCAAAAACTACCTACTCTAGTCATGTAAAGAGTGTAAATAACTAAAATGATGAAACACTCCCCCCATATTTAGACTATGCCACTGGATTAAGATTTGGATGGGTCAAATGGTTTTCTTCTTTAACAACTTTTTGGAGGATGGAGTGTCACTTGCAGTCTACAAACAAGAATAATATGTGGTTTTCAACTAAATTGGTAAATATACAAAGAATAAAAATGGTAAATAATGCAAGGAGTATATATATATATATACAAGAAGCTTCAACAGAGACCCCATGTAAGTGGCTGAACAACAGTCAATTTGGGCTGTTCAGAATTTTTCACCAAACATTGCTTATAGGCTCCCACCTGATAAAGCCAAAAGCAGCAATGTGAATATGTGATAGCTCTCCCAAATGAGTACTTAGGAAGGAAAGGAATTATCACTATATAAAGGAGCTTTCCTGTCTCTAGAATTTGGACCCTTACCCCCATGGGCTCTTTTTCTTGCGCTTCCTTCTTCAAAGTCCTTTGCTAGTCCACCAGTCCTGCAACCTCCCCTTTCCCAGTTAGTGAGGTTTGGTGCAAATCGATTCCTCCTAGCGTTGGTAGTTTTTGTTGGGAAGCCTATTTGGAAAGATTCAACACTGGGGATTTGCTCCAAAAGAAGAGACCCAATACTTGTTTGTCACCTCATTGGTGTGTTCTTTGCAAAGCGGACGGGGAGACTGGTTTTCACTTACTGGTGTCTTGCCAATTTGCAAAGTCAATCTGGGAGTGGGCTTTCTCTCTCTTTGGGTGTAGGTGGAACCCTCCATCAAACTTGTAGAGCCTATTTTCCCCTTCCTTTTTCAGGTGGCACATGAAAAGGGGTAGGGGTTGTTCACGGGTCGGGTTGGGTCGGTTTATTGGCATTTTTCCAACCGACCCGACCTGGTCGGTTTACCTAGAAATGAAACCGAAACCGACCCAGTACTAAGTAAAACCAACCTGGTTGGTTTGAATCGGTTTGGGTCGGTTTTTTGAATGATTCTTTCGATGTGAACGGTAAAGAATTCAAGTCTAAGAAAGCAAAGGCTGGATGCCTGGAAATTAAAAATGATTTGATGGATTAAAACTGATATTTTATATATCAGAAATTTTATATATAATATGTATATTTCTGAAATAAAGCTGAAATATATATATATATTTCCACAAATATATATCTGAAATATATTATATATATAATATATATCTAAGTCGGTTCGGTTTCGGTTTTCACACATGAAAACCGAAACCAAACTGAACCATCGGTTTATGTTTTTTTAACCCGAAACCGACTGGTGCTGAAGAAAAACCGGCCAACTCGGGTTGGATCGGACCGGGTTGATCGGTTTGGTTGGTTTGGTCAGTTTGGGTCTTGTTATGAACAGCCCTACAAAGGGGAAGGACTATGTGGAGAGGTCTGAGGGCTGCAGTATGCTGGACATTATGGGAAGAAAGAAATACTAGGATCTTCTTAGAAAATGAGAGAGGGGCTGAAGAATTGAGGGCTGTGATCCACATAAAGGCAGTACAGTGGCTGAAATCACTAGTACTACTTACAGATTACACAGTGGAAGACATGTTGAGAAAGTGGGGCGAGATTGCAAACTACACTCAGGTCAAACCAATAATAAAGGTGTCCTGGACTCCCCCACCTGCTGGCTTCTTAAAGTTAAATTTTGATGGGAGTTTTAGGGGGAATCCGGGACAATCAGGGATTGGAGGTGTTTTTAGGGATGAGAACGGGGTCATTTATGCCCTGTTCTCAGGCCCAGTTGGTGTGGGGGATTCCCTTAGAGCTGAGATCTTGGCAGTTATGGAAGAAGTTCAGAAAGCCAAGGAGATGAATGTCAGGAAACTCGTAATTGAAGGGGACTCAGAGGTGGTGATAGGGTGGCTGATTAAAGATGACTGCGGTTTATGGAACTACAGAAATGAGAAGAGGAAATTCAGGTGGCTGGTGCAGGAGATGGAAATCAGGATGAGTTGGGTTAAGAGATCAGCTAACTCTTTAGCTGATGGATTAGCTAAACAAGGGATAGAAAGGGAAGCAATGTTTTGGGCTAAGCTGTAACTTAATTGTTTCTTTTGTTTCTTTTTCTCTTTTTCTCTCTTTGGAGGGTTTAAGTTGTATTCGGAAGATAAGAGTTCTTGTCTTCCTTGCTGTAAATATTTTGATATTTCAATGAATTGAATGAATCTGTTATTGATAAAAATAAAAAAATAAAAAATAAAAAAACTCCCTTGGTATCCATCTTCTTTGGACAGGAAGGATGTAGGGTTGTCTATAATCTCATTTAGGTAGTGAGCCAGTTCCCAAGGCCCCTGCCTCCACAACCTACTCTATCTATCTAGATTAGTCAAGTCTCCTTCAATAGCTAGGGAGGCAGGTCTGAGCATGTTGGTAATTCAAACCCCAGTTTGAAGTGCAATAACCTTGGCCTTGTTAAAGTACTGTCATCGCCAATAGCTAGAGAGGCAGGTCTGAGCATGTTAGAATACCACTGGTAACAGTCAACTCTGGGTTATAAGGGTAATGTTGTCAAATTGCATGCTATTCACACCCTCAATTAGGGAGAGAAAGTTTCCTCTAGATAGGTGAGGGCCTGGAGAAAATCTAGGAATATCCACAAGATTTTCTCTAAATTTCATTATTAGAAGTGCCTCTAAAGTCTGAATATTACCCAACTGTATAAAACTTCAAAATAGGATTTCTTGCCTTCAAAAATTCATTTTTACCTTTCTCCTTATATGCCATAATCCCAATGGGTTGTCTTTTCAGTATATCCTCTCCTTCTCACTGAGACCCTAGCCCTTTAAAGACTCGTTATCATGTAAAGACTTATCCCAACAATATGGGGTTGGCTACAGGAATCCTTTTTTGTCATTCTTTTAGGTTTAGATGGTGATGAGTCTTTAAAGGGCTAGGGTCTCAGTGAAAAAGGGAGGATACACTGAAGCACATCAACCATTGAACCTAAAGAGACCCACTCTAGCCCCACGGCTCAAGAGAAAAATGCCACAAACATCCTGTAGTTAGGCAAAGAACAAGGACATTTGACCATTGTGCATCCTTTAGACACAAGATGCATATTTGTGGAGATAAGCATCTTGCTTAAATTTATTGTGGAGGACATCATAAGTATAAGACTTTCCACAAGCAGCCTTCACATGAAGAACACCTTGGGAGGAACATCGACACAGCCACAATCTTTTCTTCGAGATCTGATTAGTCAGGTTGCTCACAAGAGAAATAAAGAAAGAACCATCAAAGAAGAGACCTGCAGCGTTTGGGGACTAGATATGAGCATCTAAAGAATTAGAAGGGATATAAACAATAGCTGTGAAGACGTCATCTAAGCAACAAGGCATTTTCGGTGGGACACCTAGCCTGAATGCCTTAACTTGTATTAAAAGCTGTCTGTCTAGGCAATAAGGCCCACCTAGGTGACAAAATTCACAAGATGGGCACCTAATTATAATATTATTACTATTGATGCATCTTATTAGTATGTTTTTTTATAGTTCTTATCATTGTGTATATTGATACATTCTATTATATATTGCATATATTACTTTTGCAGTTATACCTCGGTTTAGGTTTTACTATTGAAATATAAAATATCCAGGAGCCTTGAGAAGAGGGGTGAAGATACTTTGGAGAGCTATCCTTGCTGTTGTAGTAATTTTGGTGGTTTGAAGGAATGTAATTCAAGGATGTTTGAACCTAGAAAAAAATCAAGGATCTTATAAAACGGAGGAGCTCAAGAAGAAAAAGTAAATTGGAAGGCAGTTGTTTTGTTTCATTCTTGGTTGCCCATGCACAAATCAATCTTTTTTTTTTTGGAAAAAGTAAGGTAAATTTATTCAAACAGAAAAGGAGAACATTACAACAAAACCCAGGCCAAAAACTGCCTAAGTGCGGATCAGGTTACAGACTCATCCAAGACTGAGAACAAAACAAGTGAGCCAAATTCTGATGCCTAAACTCCTCCGTAACCAACACCCAAGAGATCAACTTGCCCACAGCTCTCTGCACTAACTCTTCAGGACTTTTAGCTCTCTGCACAAATTAATCATGGATGTTGTGTATCAACCAGAGGGTGTGGACTGTTTTCTGTGTACAGTCACTGTACACAGAAACTCCTGAATCCTTTCTATCATTATTTTTTAGTTGGGGGGAACTTGCAAGAGTGAGGGAGAGCATAAGCATATAGTAGTCATTACAGTGAAGTAAGATGGGATTGAATCCCATGTCTAGGTTTGAACTCCCACAAACTTTGCAAATCTATGATGCCCAGATATGGATACAGACATGGACACAGATACAGGAAACTGGTACAACTCCTCATTTTCAAAAATTTTGGACATGGATATGGGAACCAGTTCCCATGTAGTATGCTTATATCTATTTTTGCAGCTACATGTCATTTTTCAAGACATATGTCTCGCCAAATTTAATTAAATTTCTAACATGTGCAGATATTTTTTATATTATAATTTGTTTAAGACATACCAATTTACACATTTCAAAAGTTTTTATGCTTTAGAGTATATACAAGTATTCATGCAGCATCTGTATCGTACCTGATAAGTATCAGATATGTACTAGACTACCAGTATACTAGGCATGTACAGGTATCTGGGTACCATAGTCACAAACTAGCTAGGTGGCATCTCAAATAATCTCCGTATTTCCCTTCACAATGCAAATAAAATGCAAAGATTAAACAGGTTCCTGGTAGTGACATCAAATCCACCAAATAATTTTTTTTTTATCAATTCTACCAAGCATCATCTTGAGTAGCACATGCTATCATATCATGTTTATGGAACAAAGCATACTACCAGATATTGGGTCTGAAGAATAATTACTATGTTAAGCATTCATTTGTTGGCAGGACCCATTAGAAACTTATAGCAGAAATTTTGAAAAAAAAATAGATTGTCTAATAAGTGTGCGTATAAAGGTAGAGAAGAACCATACTCATCAACAAAGGATTCCACCATAGCACGTCTTTCAGCTTTTGAGAGTCTTTTCTGTTGTCTCTTGGGTTTAGATGAGTCAGAAGGAACAGAAGCAGCAAAAGACCTTCCACGCCACCAAATCTTTGACCCATGTACAGCATTGGAAATCTCAGTAAACACTGTCAGATATCAAGGTCAGACAAGATATGTCTTCACTATAGATTAAAAGAAATTTCAACCAAATTCCTACTAATAATAATAACATCACATGGATTACTTGTCTGCAAAACCATAGAACTGCAAAAACAAGGCACCAAAACTAGCAGTGATTTAAAAGGCGCACCTAGGCCCTAGGCACAGCACTTTCAGAAGGCGTGAGCCTAGTGCTCCTTGCACTTCGGTGAGAGCCCAACCGCTAGGTTCAAAAAAGAACAAAAAGTGCAAACTGAAGCTCCAAGAACCCCCTATTTGCTAATAGTGTTCACTCCTTCAACCTAGTAAAACATATTCTTAAAAGACAATTAAAATTATAAAATCATTTTTGGTGTAAGGATTAAGAATTCAAGGCTCTAACATTGGCTAAAGTGTGAAAACAGAATAGGATCAGTTGGCGAAAGTGTGAAGAAGGGGGAAACAGAGATTGGAGGAAATGAGGCCGATGGTGCAATTTTGGCTGGTAGGGAATGGTTCTAAAGAGTTAAAGAGTGAGAAAGTGACTGGAAAAGATGAAAATGACATTGTGAAAGAGCAGGGATCTCAAGGTCATAAAGATGTAGGAGCAGAAAGGGGGTTGGATTAACAGAACGGAAGTTGTCTTGAAAATCAAATTAGTAGGGTGGCAATGGAGTTGGGTAAAAGAAGTTATGCAATAACAAAATACTCCTTTGCTTCAGAAAAATAAGGAAAAGATAAGGATAAGGAATCAAAGGAGATAGAGAATGAATCTACTGTTGCTTGACACTTTGAGGGGTAGAATAACCAAAGATTTGTCCAAGTTTCAAAGATCTTTGCCTGGTAAGAGGGGGTCTTGTCAAGGTTGGCCCCAATAAGAAGGCTAAGAAGGTTTATAGTAAAAGAGGGGTGAAGACACAACTACAAAAATAACCAAGCTAGTGAGCAATGACATGTGCAGCTGCTGCTGCATTAGAATTGATTTATCTTTGGCAGAAAATGATTTTGGGGAGCACTGGAAGGTGAAAAGCCATTCAAAAGGGGAGGATATAGTGATTTAAAAGGCACACCTAGGCATACAGGTGAGGTGCACTTCAAGGTATTTGCCTTGTGGCCCTTGCCTGAGCCCAAGCGCAGCCCCTTTGAAAAGGCATACACATGGTGTGTCTTGTACCTTAGCCTAATTGTATGCCTCAGTTCACATGGTGGCTGGGCTAAGGGCTTTGCCCCCAGACCCTTGACCAAGCACAGCAAGCCCCTTCACTTGCTACTGGCACTTCAACAGGACCCCCCTTTGTGAACATTGCTCTTTATTTGGCAATAAATAGAAACGAAAATTTATTAATAAAAAAGAGAGTAGTACATCTGATAGTGATAAGGTATTACCAAAAACAAAGCTACAAAGGAGATCAAAGCAAAAAAAAAAAAGGAACTCTCAATAGAAAAATAAGAAATACAAAAACCAATAACATGGGAAACTTTTAAGCCAACTCCAAGATGTTCTAAAAAACAGAATCAAGGTCTTCTTTTGTGACTTCTTCAAACTCTGGGAGAATGAGAACCCAGTCCATTATCCTTTTTATCACATAGTAGGGTGATACGCTCATGTTTGAGCCTTCTCTTCAAATATTCTTCTTTTTCTTTCTTCCCACTTCCCAGAATTCCCAACAAACAGAAAAAGGTATGCATCTCCAAGCAATCTTTGCCTTGACGTTTCCCCTTACACTTGGCCACTTGGAGAAAATCTCCTCTACTATATTAGGAGACCATCAGCTAGCCTTGAATAGCCCAAAGAAGAAACCCCAAATAAACTTAGAGTATAGGCATTCAAGTCAACAAATGAATGAATGATAGACATTCTCCTCTACATTCTCACAAAGATAGCATTTGCTAGATAAGTGAAAACATCTGTTTTGAAGATGATTCATGTCAAAATGCTATCTAACACCACTAGCCATGCAAAGGCTTCCACCCTTGGGGGGACAGGGTTCCCCCAGAATCCTTACAATTCTGAACTTCCGCCATTTGACCTTGACAAAGCCTTGTAGAAAGATTTGACTGAGAACAGTCCATTTCTAGATTCTTTCCACCATCTTGTTCTTTCATCCTTAATGCAAAACATTCTTCACCAAACAACAGTTGATACCTAATCCTAAAATAAAATGAACTACAACTAAAATCACAAAATCAACCTCTTTATAATGGAACAAAATTTTAGGACCCTCACATGGACTTGTTTAGGCTTGCCTCAAGGGGCCCTTACAAGGGTAGAGGACTGATCTTGTAGAATCAAAAATGCAAGATATTTAACATTAAATTAGCTACCTGAGGTAATGCAACTGGGAGAGAGATAAAACTTATCAAAAAAAAAAAAAAGGGAGATAGATAAACAGATTGAAAGTTTCACATGCTTGAATTGTTTGGTGCTTGAATATGTTTCCTATGTTATGTTTATGTATTTCCCTTTGAGGAAATAGGCCTTTTAAAAGATTTAGTTTCTTTTAAAATCTAAATTTGCATTTTTCTGAATTAATATTATTTTTTGATTTTTTTTTAATTTGTGCCTTGCTTCAAAAACGCACATGCTTTGCACTTTGTGTGGGCTTCTAAATGAGGTCAAGGTGAACTCCCTAGAAGAGGCAGGAATGGGTAGAGTAGGAAAGGATGATTAAATAATGTTATATATATTGGGGGTTTTATGTTTAGAAGCGAGCAGGAAGTCAGGAAGGAGTGGGCATTCTTGTGAGGGGTTTTATGGAATTTTCAAGAGCATAAGCCTGGTGTGTGTGTGTGTGTGTGTGGTGGGGGGGGGGGGTTGTACAAGCTTGACCAATACACCAAAAGCCTTGAGACTGGTGTAACACATCAATCCAAGTTATTTAACCTTCAGGATTGTAATATTGCCACCACAATTCTGCAGCCGACATCTGGGGATTCTCACTCTGGGAAACTCTCATTCTAGTGGCTCTCACTCTACTCCAAATAGTCCGTCTATGATTCAAATCTTAGACATGAGCAACCTATGATTTATGTGCTTGACCAATAAAATTATAGCCTTAAAGATTGTTGGATGTCGGAAAGCATCAAGCCAAGCCGTTTAACCTTTACAATTGTAACAGGGGTTGGGGGAGGTTGAAGATTTGTTTTATTGCTAAATTTTCACCAAGGATATTTTATGTAGATGCAATATTGGCTTTGACATCAGGGCGTTTGCAAAGGACATGGATTGAGTGAAGGGTGGTTGCGTTGTTTTTCTAGTTATTCTTGATTCTCCTCTTAGGGGATCTCATCATATTACTTTCTTGAACTTACTTTTATTTTAATGAATATTATTTTTGCTAAAAAAATAAATGGGAGGCTTTCAGCATGTCTGACATCAAGAATAATAAGTTAGACCGATACATTTTCACGGTTCATTCCAGCATGTTGTCAAATGATTTACAAAATCTAAGTTTTTTAGGTTCCAAATCAATCAGAGAATTAATGTGTAATCTCATAAGCTCTTCAAGATGTCATTTTTCTTTTTGCGGAATGCATTTCTTCCTGTTTTTTTAAATGATTTCTGGGTCACGAAAGCAGATGTTTTACTAATAAGTGCGGGGAGAGTAACTTGTTTGACTTGGATTCAGAAATTAAACGGCATAAAGATTTCGATACATTGAAGATCAAAGCATCAACAAAATGAAAAAGCTCACCCCTTCTCGAGTCCTTAAATCGAGAAGCACAACATTTAGACGGTAACGTGACTCCTCTTGCTATCTGCATCATGCGGAGCACTACGAACGAAAGGTCCCAAATCAATCCATCCAGAGAGAGAGAGAGTTGAAAAGAATTGCGACGGGAAATGCTTCTCCAAAAGCTTTACGAAATCAACGGCTTTACAGTGTGTGACACAGACTGTCTGAACCTCCCTCCAAATTCTAGGGTTTAAAATAAAATTACTTGACTGACCCGGTGGGGTTTAAGCATACCGAGTTCCGAAACCGAAAGCCTTCACAGCTTCACTCTTCTTTTGCTCTCTGGAAGGAGAGCCAAGGACCACCCAACCAGAGAAGCCCAATAGCCCATAATATTAAACCCGACCTGACCATCAACCCGGAACGGCGAGTATTATCGGTTCAATGTCCGATCCGGTTCTCACAAATTGAGAGAGGTGGAGAAGAAAGAAATGGTGAAACCAATCAGACGATCAAGCCCATTGATCCAGATATTCAAATAGATTCTTTATTTTCTTGGCCGACATCTCGTATTCTTTTTCTATATGCTCATATTAGTGTAATCAAGTTGAGCTCAACCTTTCTATAGCAATAGGTGTAAGGTGCTCGGCAGGAGCTCCAAACGACGTGGGGAAGAAGGGGGAGAAGTGGAAGAGCGACTGAGACTACAAATAGAGGATCCAGAGGGACAGCTATGTAAAACTTTTTTTTCTTTATTTTGGGCTGCAACTGCATGGTTTCTTGTTCTTATCTGCTATACAACTCTGCCCCCTTTTTCTTCACCTTTTCCTTTTCAGTTTCTTCTCGGAAAAACAGGGGCGCCGCCCTTACTTCTTCGTTTCCGCGTTCCTCTTCGAAGTTCAAATCATGAAATGCAACCTGGCAGTGTATGAAGGGGTGGTCGATCATGTCTTCTTCCTGATGCGCAAGATACAGGGCAAATCCTAAATATTTATTCTCCTCCTAATTAGACTGCCCTTGGTTCTTCTGTCTACCAGAAAGCAAACTTTTGATGGAGCTAGGGTCTCCACACAATTTTGGACGGGAATGTGATACTCATTTTCTCCATGAGGTGCTTACAAAGGATCTAACAGAAAAAAACAGCCGCCAGACTCCCACTTCCACACCCTACCGTCTTCCCTTTCTATGTTTAGCTGAGTATCTTGGAGCAAGCATAAGAAGCTGGTAGCATTCTCTACCTCCCAATCCTGAAAATTCCTGCAGAAATGTGGTGTCCAAATAAGAAGAGGGAGGAAGGTGAAACGTTGAGCAGTGGTAACAGTAAGATGACAATGGAGAAAGAAATGGAGGGAAGCTTTGTTGAGGCAGGTTGATGGAGAAGAAATCTGAAAGTTTAAGCCAAGTACTTCCTGTTTGAGGAAGAAAAAGGTAGAGGAAAGCTGAGTTTGAAAATAAGGGAAGCAAGGAGGGTTATGGTTCTGTTGACTGGGATAGAAGTAGTGGAATGGCTGCAGAAGTTTGTGGAAGGGGCAAGATTGAATGGTAAGCAAAACAACAGGCAAGAGATTGCAGCTGATGAAGGTAAGAAATATATAGTTGAAAGCAGAAAGAATACAACGGGCTGCTACATAGCTCTGGCTGAGTTTTTTAGGGAGGAAAGAAACAGCTGGTTTGTTTCCCAGCAGGAAGACAGTGTCAAGGTTGGAGGGAAGTGAGTAGTGTGCTTGAGGAATTTTTGCTCCATGGAGTAAAAGTAACAAAGGGGAGTCCAGGGAGGGAAGAAGCGGTGTATCAGAGGTCCAGTATGTCTGGAAACATGGAGCAAGAGTCAGTGATTGTAGCAAAAGCCAATGGACAGTGCAGGTGATGGAACATTCAAAGAGGGAAAAATGGATTAGTAAGTTCATAATAGATGTAGGGTTGCAATCTGTTGACTGGAGGAGAGTTGCAGATTACTTGATCTTGAATCTGAAGCTGGAGAGTGAGTTTATTGCAACTACCTTTGATAAATGTAAAGGTCTAGTTGATTTTGGGGAGAACAGAGTAGACTTCTCAGTAGTTAATTTTCAGACTGAACTAGGAACTATTACAATCTTCAGATGGAATCCTCTCTCTAATGCCAAAAACTTCTCTATTGAAGATGGGGTTCTGGTATGGATAATCGGATTGCCTTTCCATCTTTGGAAGCAAGACGTAGCAGATGTCATTGCACTTATGTGTGGAGGGAAACTGGATGGTGCTTACTAGGGAGACCTCCATTCTGCGGCTATTCTCCTGAGCAGAGTGAGGCCTGAAAATATACCAAGGAAGGTGGAAATAAGAGTGGAGGGTGTTTTCGTTTCAGTCTGGTTGGCTTCATCCATTGAAGCAAGCTTGTGGAAGGAAGCTAGAATGGAGGGAGGTGAGGAGTTTGAGGAAGAAGTTGTACGTGGAAGAAGCATATTAGAGGATTCAAAAAAGACTAGAAGTTATACTAAAATGGGTCAACAGCTTCTGGGGAGCCAAAAAGACTTGGGACATATGGAAAGTCAAAGGCTTAAAACACAAGAAACCCCTCTGACGCATAGCAGAACCTTTGCACGGGTGGTTGGGAACACTACCACGGAAAACTTTAATTTTGAAGAGGGGAGTAAAGAGGTGACAAGTGTTAAAWAGCAAGTTGAAKTAAGAAACAGGGYGGTTGAACCAGGAGTTGAGGTGGGTGACATAACTGAAAACCCTATTGATCTCAATACTGATTTTATGACWTGATTCACTTTAATTGGACTTCTTTAATGGTGGTGCAACAGTGAAGTGGAAGAGCTGTCAATAGTAAAGATGGGAAGGAAGATGTGTTCCATGGAAGAATGGTTTCAAGCGCCATATTGACAAGGACCGTCTCATGGTTAAAATCTTCACACTTGTTGGCAGATTACTCATTTGATGACTTAAGGAGAAATTGGGCTGCAGTGGCTGCTACAATCTCCACCAAGATCAAATCACAACTTGAATGGAATCCCCCACCGGATGGTGTGGTAAAATTGAATTTTGATGGAAGCTGCCAAGGTAACCTAGGGCCATCCGAAATCAGTGGGATTCTGAGAGAAGAGACAGCAATATGTTGTCTCTATTTCAGGACCAGTGGGTGAAGGTGATTCAGTAAGGGCAGAGCTACTAGCAGTGGTACAAGGTATACAGATGGCTAGTCAAATTGGAGTGAACAATCTGTTAGTAGAAGGGGATTCCAAGGTAGTAGTAGGCTGGCTGATTAGCCCAGAAACAGCTTGTTAGGGCTACAGGGATCTGTTAAAGAAAGTTAAATGGATGACAAGGAATATGACTATCAGGGTTCAGTGGGTCAGAAGATCAGCAAATGCAATGGCTGATTCTCTAGCCAAGCAAGGGGTGTCAAGGGGAGATCTGTTTTGGGCTACTTTGTAATTGGGTCTCAGGCTTGGGCAGTTTTGGTGTATATGATAAAATCCTAGGGTGGGTAATATCTCGTGCCTTCTCCTAGGCTGATTGTATTTTGGGTAAAATATAAAAACCTCCCCTAAAGTTTTTGATAATCATAAAAACCTCCCCTATAATTTCGTTTTAACAAATACCTCCCCTGAACTTTTGAGAATACATATAAAAACCAGTAAAAATTTAAATTTTTGAAATGAGCAATTTTTTGTTTTATTTATATAATTACTAAATCTATATTTTATTATTTATTACAGTACAATAATTCTTTTGAGCATACAAATTGAGAGATACATTTACTTATAAAAATTCAATCATTTATATTGAATTGAAAATGTTATAGGTTTTAAATAAAAAACCCAATTATGTTTTTAAAAATAATTTACAAACTATGAATAACCATGTTATATTTATTATATTGTTCAATTTCTAGATTATAATAATTTTAGTTGATGGATAATTAAAAATACTATTAAAAACATTTAATAGAACAATATGTGAAAATAATATATCTCATAAGGTTTTTTTATTTTTTATTTTAAATGTATAATAAAAATAAACATACAAATGATTTCATTTGATTATTAGGCAAAAATTAAAAATTAAAGCACAATGCACAAAATTTAGTTACCAACAGAGTAGTGGCTCGATTGGTATGTAAACTGAGTAGTCCCAAAATGGATGCGGTTTCAAACACGATTGATACATAAACTGAAAAAGTATTATATTATGAAGAAAAAAAACGTATGAGAAAATAAGTCAAGTTTTTTAATACCCAAAACACATATAAAAATTTAGCCGATAAAATTAAGATGTTAAACGTATTGAGAGAAGATAAAAATGAAATTAAATTCAACTATATTTAACGATGAAATTTTTTATCTAAATAACCACTTGAAAAACGTGAAATTAAATTTTATCACTTAAATTAAGTCTCAAATTTAAAATAAATATTATAAAAACAATAAAGAAATGCATTTTAAATTATATATTATAAATGAATATTACAATTATATTTATTTATCTAAATACATTATTCTATTGATTATATTAGAAATTGATAACACAACATTTTTTCAAAATGTGCTTCTTAACTAAAAAATATATAATTCTTATCCTCAATGGTTAAATATCGATATAATGTTTTGAATTGATGTACCCAAATATTCTTGAATACACCAATGCAGATGTATTTTTTAACTATAAATTTAAAATAATGAATGAGACCTATAATACCTATAAAATTAAAAAAAAAGCATAGCCTATTGGCTATATTGACACAATTGATATCCACAATAAGTATCATTGCATATCAATAATTCTTATTTATACTAAAAATACATATTCCTATTATTTTATAAGTTATGATAGAAGAAAATATTATACATAAATAAAGTTTGAAATAGACACTTAAAACATATCAATGGGCGGAGAAGAAAGAAGCAGAGGACTCGATCAGACGATCGGCCCCATTAATCCAAGCATCAAATAGATTCTTCACTTTCTTCGCCAACATCTATTCTTCTTTCCTTACAACATACTCTTGTTAGTGTGATCAAGTTGAGTTCAACATTTCTTTCTCAATAGGTGCTTAAGGCGGGGAGCTTCGCGTGAGGAAGGAGGGAGAGAAGTGAAAGAGCGATTGGATTATAGAGAATCAACAAGGACAAGTATGTAAAACTTTATTTTTTTTAATTTATGGGTTGCAACTGCAAGGATTCTTGTTCTTATTTGTTAAAGAACAAAAGCAGGAGGCTTTACCCCTTCTTTCTTCCCCTTTTCTTATTCAGATTCTTCTCATAAAAAGAGGGGCTTTGCACTTACTTCCTCGTTTCGGCATCATTACTTGAAGTTCAAATTATCAAATGTATTTTTTTTAAAAAATATCACTATACATTATTGGAGCTTTACCTGCAACAGAAAGAAATAAATAACAAATGGGCCCGTTTTATTAATTTAATACTTTTTATGTTAGCTTGAAATAGAAAAAATGATAGATGTTAGTTGCTTTGGTTGTTCCAATGCTTTACGTTTTGTTAATATTATGTAATTGTATTGTGTTTTGTGAATTACAGGGATATACGTCTTGTTAATGTTATATATGTTGGGATTGTGTCTTATTTTACAACTGTTTGGTTGATTTTAATCTAACAGTTGGTGTGGTCTCTGTTTAGGTTAAAGTGGTTTTACATATAAAATCTTTCTTTTGTGTGTAGGGTTAAGGATTTTTTGGAGAAAATGTGTGAGATAAAAAAAATACAGAGTGCTCTTGGTGTGAGAATGGTTTTTTTCTTGTTTTTGTTCTTCGGGTTGAGAGAAAATGGAGAACAGGTGTACAAAAGGTAAGGGTTGGTTTGGGTTGCAAGCCGCAAGGTACTTGTATTGTTCAGTTTTAATTGGGAGGACATCGAGTCAAGCTATGTTAATACGATTCGATTGCTCATGGCTGATAACGTTATGTTTAACATTATGGAGGAAGATTATGCACCAGAATTATGGGATAAGCTGGAGAAGCTTTATTTGGGAAAAAGTTTAACTACAAAGTTATATCTGAAGTGGCAGTTGTACAGGTTGAAGATGGAAGAAGGTGGGAATCTCCTGGAACACCTAAATGTGTTCAACAGTATCTTGGATCAACTAGGGAAAGTTGATGTCAAGGTATAGGACAAAGACGAGGCCCTTTTACTTTTTACCTCACTTTCTGATTCATATGAAAACTTGGTGACAACATTGTTGTACGGGAAAGATATAGTGAAGCTGGAAAAAGTTACTGCATCTCTTCTATCCAATGATGTTAAGAGGAAGCCCAAGTATGAGAATGGGCAAGACTCTGTGTTGGTCACGGTGGTAACGGATTGGAAAGGAAGGTCATCTGACAGGGGATCTGAAAGCAGCAAGTCTAAATCCAAGGCTAGGGAAAATGTCAAGATACAATGTTACAAATGTAAGGAATTTGGTGACATGAAATGAGACTATCTTGCACAAAAAAAGAGTGGAGATGAATCCGAAAGCGTGGCAATTGCATCTAATGATGATGGAGACATTCTCATAATCTCCGAAGGTATGTGCAATTTTTCTCCAAATGAATGGGATTTAGATTCTAGATGTTCTATGCATATTTGCTCTAGCAAAGAATCTTTCAACACGTTCCAAGAGAGGAAGCCATGTTCTATGCATATTTGTCTCCTTGGGAGATGGATCTACATGTAACATCACAGGTATTGGGACAATGAAAATCAAAATGTATGATGGAATGGTTCGCACTTTGGGTGGTGTGGCATATGTATTAAAAATGTGAAGGAATCTAATATCACTTAGGCGGTTGGACTCCAAGGGATGCAAGGTTTTTGATGCAGGTGAAGCCATGAAAATCACAAGTGGTGGTATGGTCTAGATGAAGGGAGAAAAATGCAAGGTTTTGTATCACTTGGTTGGGAGTACAGTGGTTCCCAAGACCTCAATGTAATGTTGGAAATGAAATGTGCAAGATAGTGTGGCCACACGGAGGGTCTCTTTTACAGATAAAGTGGAGACAAATGCTACAAGTTTCCAAAGTATAAGTGATGATGAGAGAAAGGTTCCTATTGGAAAAAAGGAAGGATCGAGGTCCCTCTCTAAAGTTAACTAGGATTGTTAGCTTGGGTACAATTACACAAGTGCATTGGCCCATTTTGTTTGAATCAGATGGATTCAGGACCGAATGATTCAGATTATGTGTAGTTGGTGATGTTTTACAAGGCAATTGTGGTATTTGCAAACAGGTGAAAACACAAATAATGTATCTCTAAGGTGGTTGAAAAATAAGCCAACGTAGAAATTGTTGAGATTGTATCTTATTTTACCTCCGTTGGATTAATTTTAATTTAATGGTTGGTGTGGTCCCTCTTTAGGTTAAAGAGGTTCTACATATAAAAGCTTTGGGCTGGTTGAGAGGAAATGGAGAACGGGTGTACAGGGGTAAGGGTTGGTTTGGGTTGCAAGCCGCGAGGTACTTGTATTGTTCTCAATTTTCATTCATAGTGAAAAAACATATTTCATTTCTCCCGTGGATGTAGGTGGTAAGGCCGAACCACATAAATCTTTGTATTCTTTGGGTGTTTGTTTTATTTGTCTTTGCTTAGATTTCATCTTTTTTGTTGCTATTAGATTTCTCGTTGTTGTTATTTCAAAATTTATGTTATTTTATACTGTGGGTGGTTGTTGTGAGGCCCCAACAATATAATTGGTTAAAAGCTTTGATAATTTTATTTTGGTAATTCTATGGCTTTAAGCATTCATGGCTGAAGATAACTTATATTTGGATGGTATTGAAGTTTGGTTATCACTTTTATACTTGAATGTGATGGTTTGGTATTAGATATTTTTTCCTTATTTCCTTTTTTTAGAGTTTTACTCATTTTTATATTTTGATTTTAAATGATTTAGGATTTGTATTTTGTTTATGTAAGCTCTTGATTTTGAGCTTTGGGCCGTGGGAAACAAAAATGAGTCCAAAAGTGTTTTGAGTGTTTGGTAAGAATTGCTTTTAAAAACATAACAATCTGAAGACAAGACACTTTTAAGCCTCAAAGAACAAAGTTTATCCAAACACTTATATTGGGGCTTTGTGCTTTTGGCTATAAAAGCTCAAATCCTGAATCCCAAAGTTTATCCAAACAAAACCTTATTTGTTAAAAAAAAAAAAACCTAGGAAGCTTGCACCTCTTGCTTAAATATTCTAGTTTACATCTCACAACTTAGGATGGTGGAATGCCTTGCCTCACATATTTCCATTTAATGGCATTGATCAGGATTGAACTTCTGCCGATTTCACTCTAAGCTATTTCTTATAATACACAAATTGTACACTTGTTAATTTATTTGCAAAAAATATGGAAATAACTCATCTGGTCATCCTATAAAAAGCCCTTGCTTCCACACTTACAGGAATACGAAGATTGTAAATTACTTATCTTATTGATTATTTGTTCCTTCATGTTTTCAAAAAGTACCAATGTTGTCTACTTGATACAACATAGAAGAGAAGACAATGACTACTAGCATGCTTACTATGTTGTGCATCAGAGGTAAATGAGGCACAATGAATTGCATG